CTTAAATGCGACTATGTAACGATCACTTCCTGTTCTCACTTTTGTTATGTAAACGTACGCCAAAGGGATGGAACTGACGATTGAGGTGCGGCAAGATAAAAATGTGTTTTTTACTTACATTTTTCAGCCTTATGTTTTTATCTACAGGTAGTTTTAAACTATTATATAATAAACCCATAAAGGGCTACCTCATAAATAAACTAATTGACATATGAACAAATTGCTATGATTACTAATTTTATTTCTTATCAAGGAACCAATAATACGCGTTTTGTTATTATCGATTCTTAGAACGAAATGGCGTGTCCATATTTTCTACAGTGATTATTTTAATCACTTTTTGTTTGACAGCATAATGTATTTTTGAACGAATTTAAAAATATGTTTGATTCAGTGGAAAGGCTTTGTAAGCAATTACCATGGTGTTAATGCCTTCTAGAATATCTATAGTTTTCATACTTCTGAACTGCCCGTGAGATTATTTGTGTGCTTATAGGATGTTTCTATTTGATCTCTTTTTATTTCAAATGCTGATATAAATTATAGTAAATCATATCATAATTTTACACATATTGTAATCGCAATATATGTGAAAATATGATGTAATTTACTAGAACTCACAAATGTCTGCATATTTCTGAACAAATAAAGTAAATAACTAATTAATGCTAGCCACTGCTTAACAACTCGCGTTGTATAAAGTAAACAAAATATATACAGTGCACTACACACACTACAGATATTTGCAGTTTTGATTTAGTCCCTATTCAGAACCACTGCAATACTAGCCAATTGAATAAGTGTATCAGTATTGAGCCACTTAAAACTACATTCACGACTAAGAAAGGACCAACATATTCAGGCTACCATTACCTGCTGCATGGCCCATTAGATCATTGTATCGCGATTATGAACTTCCCGAAGACGTCTTCTAAAGAGCTGCTTACGGATTCGATTTACTATTCGGTGCCCGAAGCAGTGGAGGAGCTTATATGTCGTGGGTAGACACAACTGCGGATACAGTTGATTACAGTGGACTTGCGCTGGGTAGACTATTGAAATCTACACTGCATTGTTTTGTTTGGTTCGATTGCAGGATTCCGGCATAAGGTTTTTTAATAGGACTAAAAGGAATGATTTATTTGTATATCGTAAGAGATTCTTCGATCGAGAGAGATCGTGGGCGTTCTATACCGGGTATAGTCACGTAAACGTTTGTGTGTATAAACGAGTTTACTCACGTACATTTATAGTTATACGTATATGTTGTAAATTTAGAAAAAAAAAACTTTTTTCAGCCTCTTTTTTGAGAACCTGAGTGGTATCAGGTGCCACGACGGTAAAAGATATGACATATCTCTTTGAAAAGTCTGAAACTATTTTACCAAAATACACACGGTAATAAAACGCAAGTTTTTATTCCAATACGATATATCTTAACCCACTTTTACATCATACCATACTCCAACACTTTAAAATAGCTGTTACTTTCGTCCGTCATCAATCAATTTTAAGGGTGCACCTTTAACGTTTTACTTTAAGTTGCTGAACAGCCTACCAAAATATAATACATTGTAACTCAAGAATTTGAAATATGTTTAAATCCAACTAATACTATATAGAATGATTTTTTGAGAAAAATACAAGTGAGTGGTAAAAGAGGCTAAAACTAATGCTTATTATTTACTGTTTCTGTATGTTTACTAATTAAGAAGAACAAGATGTTAATCACGAGAAACTCACTGATTACTGCCTACTTAATAAAAAAAACACACCCTAACGAAAACGATGGTTTAAAATAAAAGCACGCAATAATTATTAAATAAATATATTTATTTACACGTTAACGGCAAAATGAAATAATTTGTCGATGTTTATGAACTTGTAAACATTTTCACCGGCTTTTCACCAGTAGTATTTAGTATTCAAAATTTACGGAACATTTTACATAGCCAATACTAAATAACGACAGTTCAGTTTTTTACATAAATACATATTTGACAACGGCTACAAAAAACATTATCAGCGCATATCGATTTTAATTTCTTCTAATTTATGCCTCAAAATCTAAATCGACAATGACGAAATTACAATGTTTTTTCTAGCTGGTTTCATTTTAGCGTAGAAATCTTTAATTTAATTTACATTAGGTATTTCTATCTTAGAAAAAATTAGCATTTATCTACATAGAGGTTTAACTTCTTTAATATAAAACAAAATAATTTTTTTAGCATATCATCTGTATTTTATTATCGTTATACATAATTTATGCGCGAACATTCACTAAAGCTCTGTGGCGGAAATTAAAATACATACCACCTTATTGATAAACGCAGCCTGCCAAAGTGCCATGAAGGATAGGACCGTTCGGTTCTTTATCTTATTTTTATATTGCTATTGTCTTTTTACTATATTGTATATAGTAAGAAAGAAGACAAATAATAGTTGTTTAACTAGTCTATGGCCACATAATTACCCCTTTTTTTCCTTTTTGTAAAATTTCATACATCGTGGTAAATAGTTTCTGTCTAGTGTAAACAAAAAAAGTAAGGTTTATGTTTGATGTTTCTTAGATATCTTTGTCACAAATTTGTCTAAATTTTACAGTCAATATAAACTAAAATTAGATCCATATCGGAGATGGCTTAGGAAATATCGCAATCCTATAACCTACCTACCTACCAGCACAATGTAAGAAGGTATTCCAAATCAGTATTGCGTACCAATACTTACTACTTTAAACTATGCAAGTATTGTTTTTTTATATAGATACATCAATATACGAGTATTTGTGTGTGTGTATATTTCCAAAGAAAACAACAGCTGTATGGACAGGCACGTTTATAATTAAGGTGTACATTTAGAAATATGATACAGTTAAACGTTAATATTATACAGACCTAACTAACCATTGCACCACGTCAGAGTACCAACTTTTGGGATAAAATCACAATGCGATAATTATTCGTTTAGTCAACTGTTTCCTCATTACCTACAACAGGTACAGCAATATTATACGCAATACCTACTAAAACTGTTAACACATTTGTATGATTTCAATCAAAGTTAGTAATTTAAATTTGAAACAGACTTAAAACAAAACAAAAACTACAAAATATTTTTTTACTTATATCTGATGTAAAAAGTACGCACGAATAATAAACGCAATGCGTGTTTACCCTTAATCTACCAACTTAGCTTATTTGTGTAGACTCTCAAGTAATAATTTCTACAGAAAACTTATCTTTGGTTAAATAATAACATTAACATATATACCAATTAAAAGTAAATAAAAATTAAGAAAATTACCTTCAATAAAACTTCATACCTTGTATGATAACAATATTTAATTTATTTTAGTAGAGTACATACATACAACCCATAACAATGAGATCGATTTTATCAATTAATATTTTTAGTGAATGGACCTGAATCGTTGTATCACGACAAATATTACAAATTTGCTTTGCCGAATGCAAATCTAAATGTTATGTCAAACAGAATAACTGATTATACTCTACTCCACATAAAGTCAATGAAACTAATTTTAAATAATTTACAAGATTGAAGATAGGTATGTCATAAACATTTTATTTATTAGTGCCTATTCTGTTGTTTGACATCGTGTTAAAACAAAAATATATTGGAACGAAGTTCCTTATTATTGCACAATATCTCCGAAAAATAAGAAAAATGGTGTTTGTTGGTGTTGATGAAATTTAATGTTCCCTCAAAAATGTTGATCATTTAGATTTCGTATAATATAGAGAGACGTTTTCATATAGAGACTTCTGAAAGTCACATTTATTGTAATAATTACCCTCGTTTAAATCCACAGAATAGACACCATTATCTTATTTAGTGGTACGGAGCGTGTCTAAATTGGCTAAGCAAGATGTGGTACAGAAGGTACAATAAAGTAGAGGCGAGAGCGCGCCTAACCCACGCAACGCTACTATCTTAACATGTAAACAAGTGCTCAAATCGTATACATAATGGAAATATCGTGTTCTAACAACGTTATCGCGACTCATCCCGGACACTTTGTAAAGTGGCCACATATACAGCGCTCGCCCGCCAAACAGCGACGAGCCTAATGTACTGGCGTGTCATTCTAATATATGTCCAGTGTCGTGTTCGTGCATTTCTGCACTAAAGACCGAAATTATTACCTCATCTAATCCAAGATCTTCATATGGATAGTAATATGTTTTAAATAGTATCGAGTTTGAATGTATAAATCGAGTGTCATTAGATCCTCTGACAGGATTGAAAGATTTTGGATTTCCTTGAATATCGATTTCGTTTCGTTAGTCGGTTGATAACTTGCATACCTGGCCACCGTTAACATAACAGGTATTGAAAAATTACTCTTAAGATATTTTTACAGATTTCAGGTTCGCTTGACTTTTTTTAATAACTAAATATAAAAAAAATTACAAACTATACTATTTTTTATAGTAGGTAGGTGTGTGATGGTGATGGCTAGTTTGCGGGGAGAAGGAACGGATCACACTAGTGTCTATTACTTTTGTGTTTATGAAAGACGTTCATCGATTGCCGAACATGCGTGCCCCAACGCCGAGGGCCTGCAGACAAGCCTATGCACCTCGCCAACATTTAATGGGGTTTTACCTGTATTAAAAAATAGAGAGTTTATTAATGTACACTATACATAGGTAGGTATGCTAGCTAGGTGAAGATGAAGAAGATGAAGTTTCTAATATTTCTGGAATAACATTAAATTTTGGGCAAAATCTTGTTAATCATGACATCTATTATTATAAATGTGAAAGTGGTTTTCGATGTTTGTTCGTTAAGCTTTTACGTTTTAACCACTTAACTGCTATGCATGGCAGAGAACATGTCTTTAGTATATAAAAAAATGATGCCGCGAAAACTAGTATATTTTATAACATTAAATTGCGCTATGGCTAAGAAACACGGTCTTTACTTGGCATATGACTAACCGAGGCGAGATGTCGGCGATGAACCGTCGGTCATCGCGCGGCGTCACACACGTCAGGGTCAGGTGGGCTGCCGTACCCACTGGAGGCGTCATCAGCTCCCGCGCAGCCTCCTGCATCCTTGTCAACTAGAGCTCCACCAGCCGCGGCTCCACCACCACAAGCTCCTACCGCTCCAACGTAACCTCCCCCGCCGGTTGGCGACTGTATAAATACAAATTGGATAATTATTGTAATTATTGGGTAAAATTTAACTAAAACATTAGATAATATTATTAATTTTAAACGTCGCGTCACTACGATTTACTACATTATTTTTATGTGTATTAATTTAATAATTCTTTTTCATGTTTTTGTACATCACGCAGTAAGGTACCGTTGTTCAAATTAGAACTTACTACGGCCAAAACCTCCATTCTAAGGAAAGGCCTATGTCCAGCAGTGGTCTATTATAGGCTGTTGATGATGATGTTGATGAAGAACTATCGAGCGTAGAAAATGTATACAAGTCGGTATAGAACAGTACATCAAACTTATTCAAAGCCAAGGAAGGACATTCTTAATAAGGTCACTATATAGTTAAGTTTATAATTTACTTATGCTCCTAACAGTAAACCGCGCACGCAATCAAAAAGTCGATTAGAAATGTCGCGCGGCTGAATGGGCTCCTCCACTCGCGCGACTCATAAAATGAAATAGATTCCCCCACATTCGCATTCCGACAAGCGTTCGTACGAGAAAGATTAATGATCACAAAAGAAACATAATAAAGTGGAGATAGAATCTCCCACTAACAGTGTCCTTGTGGGAGTTATTTACTCCGTCGAGTCGACTTTTTCACGTGCTCTTTATTTTCGAGACGTTTGAAAAAATCTCGCGAGATTCACTTACGCAAAAATGTAACCATGATCGTTCGCATCGAATAAAAGAGGAAGTGTCGAAGTGGAACGGCATGAAATCTCATCATTTAAGAGCAAATTGTGTGTCCGTGTTCGTTGTCGATTATAATCAGGTCCCTATTAAATTGATAAACGTGTAATAATGTAAATAGTTGTTTAGTCACAACGCGAAGGTTGACAATAGCATTCGTTTGCGCCCATGAACTAAGTAAGTGCGCTAGTTACACGAAGAAATTGATGTTCCTTGAAGTGCACAGACTCGTGTCAACTTTGTCACGCGATGTGCAACTTGGCGAACATAAAGACGCTAGCTGTTCCCAGCGGACTCATCTGCGTTTAACATTTATTACTTCCATATTTAACTTGTTAGCATTTATCAGTTTGGTAGATCTTTATAATTACTGATTAGTTCTTTGAATATTCTCAATAAACAGTCTATATATTAAAAAAACACATTCATAGTAGTGATAAATCTGGTAATTTGTAAAATTTTATAACTCCACATTGATTTTGATATAATTTACAGAACCAAGGGCTATGGGAACCTCGACCACTTGGCTTCTAGATAATTATAGACTATAGTGACACCCAGTGACACCGCCCTACTGGTCGGTCTTATCTGTACTTCGCTTTTAATGAATTCTTGAAGTTCTCACGGTGACTCTAAATAAAACTGACTATATATAAGTGGTGCAATTGTTTAGGTACCTGTCACGTGCACACATGGTATTTGGTTACATTTCCACATTTGCCAACTTGTGTTCATACACGTTTGTGCAAAGATTATGAGTCCCGGAGCTTTACAATACAGCATGGCCCCAGATTATCAATATTCTCATAATCGTAGATGTAGTGATCACTGGTATAGTTGAGTAGGTGTGTACACGTGTGTGTATGTGTCGTCAATATGTGAAATAACAAGTAAACGGACAAACATCTGTATCTGTAAATAATCTATATCCTATTACGTCAAGAGAATTCTTCGTACCTGGTTATACGCAATTTTCGTGTTAGAACTAATATAATATATGGAATACTGACGATTATTTACACTATGTAATAAACTGTTCTTGAATTATGTTAGACTTATCTCACGAGGAAGGTGATCTTTAAATTGCACTTACTTTTATGAGAAAATTCTTTGCAATTTAACCGCTTGGAAAATTTTAGCTTGTTTACTATATGGGTACCCTGTACGTAGAGTAAGACAGAAGTGTAAGACACTGTACGTTATGTAAAACACTTATATGACAATATTTCATTACAGTACATTAATATGCTATGTCTACAAAATATTTTTGCAATCCAACATCGCTAAACGGGGTCATTCATTAACAGATGTAACGGTTAGATATATATCTATTCATAATCAGATTCGTCTAGACATTCGGAAATAGTTATTCCATAAATATTCACCTGTAGTCCGCTTACTTGACGACGGATGTGAGCCAGCCCGCTAGGATTGGCCGCCATGCTTGCGAACACTAACCTCTCTTCATAGTCATACTCGCATAGTATCTTGTTATCGCATAAATAGAATCTGTCGCCTACGCAGAACCTGTAACAAATTTACACTCGATGTATACACTGTCGGCCTTAATTTAATCCTTATCAATACAAATTTGGTTTCAGTAAAGTAAATTTGATAGCACGTAATCCTATCAACGCTAGTAACATTCTAACGCTTCATTGAGTAAATATCCCAAATGAAATATAATATGTGCTAGCGAATCGTAAGACGTCGGATTTGCAACTCAGAGGATGCAAGTTTTTTTTTTTCTTTTTTTTTTAAAGACAACTCCCGCATTAGGAATAGATTCCTGTGTCGCGGGGGACTTTGCAAACATACATGAACGGACACAAAGAACACCCAGACTCAGAACAACAGTTTGTGGATCACACAAAGTGTCGTCCCATGTGGGGTTTGAACCCACAACACTCGGCGTAGTAGGAACCGGCGAGGTGACCGCTTAAACCACTACACCATCCGTGCAGTCAAATCACTACTTATTTCATAATATAACATATTTTATCCGTTCAAAGAATACTGCTTCTAAAAAATTGGAATATAGTTTATAACTTTGTATTTTGGGTAAGTTGTTGAGTTAATATTTTGTAAAATATATGTGGGGCCTGTTAGTCTAGTGTTAGCCAGAAGTCGTAGGTTCCATTCTCACCCAGAATAAATATTACGCTATGTGCGCGATCCTTTCTCCAATCACGATCATAAACAAGATATATGTTTGGGTGTAATTTATCTTAAATATAAAATAATAATATCGCTTGAATGTGCACCAGGTAAAAATATACAATAATTAGATTAAACTAGTTTAGACAAGTTCAAGTGGCGGCCTTATCGCTCAGAGGCAATCTATTACAGGCAACCGTTACATGGAGAGAAAACATAAAAGGGAAGAGGTAAAGGGTAGTGGTTGGTGTGTTAGGAATTAGATAAGAAGGGGAAATCAAAGTAGTATATATATAAATTTTAAAGAATGTGATAGTTATACTATATCTATCTGTTGTACTTTGGTGAGTATATAACGTACTAGTGGGCATATACTATGAGCAGAACAGGAATATTGGTGTTATTAGATACATATAATAAAATAAGTGTGATATACATTTCAAAATATATAAGTATATTTATGTGCCCGATTGACGACGATCGGCTTAATCGCTGTTACGTAAGTAGGACTAAAATTATGTTAAGATTATTCCCAATTATACGTGGGATTGTCTTTTTATTCAATTCGCAAAGAGAAGAAACCTCCAATTTATTTCGGATTAATTTCGTTGTGGGTTCCAAGACAGTTTAACTTTTACACGCACTTCTCGAGTGTCAAAACTCGAAATGTTCGTGGGTCACGAACATATTAAGTTAAAACCTTGACTTAAAAACTCACCTATGATTGCACTGTTGACAAGCGAAGCACTCTAAGTGGTAAACGAAACTCTTTGCTCGCATAACCATTTCGAAAGCGGGAATGACTTTGTTGCACGCCACACAGTTGCCTGTGGCACCAAATAACCTGTTAAAAAATAAGAAGCCCATAAATATTAACTACTTACGACTTATAAATACAAAATACACTTTTCATTAAAGCCTTTTAAAGTGGAAAAATGTGGTAACGCTATAAATTGAAGGGAGAGAACTAAAAGCTAGATTTTTTTTTCTTTGCTATTACATTACCTTTTTTAAATGCAATCTAATAATAAAATGTTTTATTTTAAAAAACAATTAAATTTATTGACTAGCAATCCTTATATATGCAATACATCGTCTTCATTTTACATTAATCCACATGGATGTGGTGACTGATTAAGAATACGGAGTGTCACCACCCATATTTATATCGTGGGTGTCGTAAGAGCCGACTAAGGGAACAAACTACGCAGGACTACAGCACTGCAAAGAGAATGAAAACTTGATACAAGCCCTATACAAAACCTTGTTTCTAAGGAGAAGCCTATGTCCAGCAGTGGACAAATTAAGGTAGTTGATAATGAGGTAATATATGTATGTAATACATATATATGTAGCTATACGTTGATGTACCTATGTAATAAATACATGTGCATTACATAACATATATCTTTACTCGTAAGTAAAGTATGACTAAGGAGGTTTAGGTGGCGAAAACGTTATAAAAAGACAGACAGTTACGCACACTGAAAATATACGAGTAAATAAACTTTGAACACTCTCCTTTGGTGAGCGCTTATTTTTCTGTTAACTATAGATCAATATTTCTTAAACAATAAAAAGTTTTAAAATTTTAATTCAATTGATCATTGATGATTTTTAATAAATGTTGCCAGCGGTACAAAAATGCACATAAAGCCCCTTTTATCTATAACGTGTTAAACACTATCAGGAACTTAAATCATACATGTTAATTTTTTTTATTAATCAGCTCAATTAGACCGACATCAATGTTTTACAGTGAATCGCTTCGGCCATGTGTTGTACGTATCTTCAATATAAAGCGGTAATTAAACGGTAACAATAATATCACTGCAATTAATCAATTAAATAATTATAAGAAAGCCAATTAACAGCAGAATAATAGTTTAAGAGAGAACTCCATACTGTAATAACATGCGGCAATTAACTTATAATGCCCACCATAATAGTAAAGTTATATCCTTAGTAATACTAGAACAATGCCCATTTCATTTCACCAAGTAATTATAAGTACTAATTAATAGTGCGTTGATGACTAATTCAATTAACTGTAGAATGAGTAAATAATTTTTCAATAACTTCTACACTTCTCAAATCTTGGGAATATCTTTAAGAAAACAATAATTAAATATTGCTTTTATTAAAGTAATTAAATAGTTTGTAAGTAATTTAACTTTTTGCATAAACTGTGCCGGGACCTGAGGATCCCGAGGAAGAATTATGAGGTAGGTAGTAGTTTGATACAGAGATTTTCTTCCTGTTAATCAGCAAGAGGGAAAAAAAGAGTGCAGATAGTTTTGCTTGTTGCACTGCCATTGCTATTAATTTAATTAATTAATAAAAGAACATGTTACCTAAGATAATCTCGTTTGCAGAGCATGAGATCTGCCTTGTAGTATAATTTGGAACCGACTTCTCCTAGACGGCAGTCGCAACATCCACACTTAAGGCAATCCTCGTGCCAAAACCGCTCCATAGCTTTCAGAAGGAACCTCTCGGTAATGACTTTCCCGCACTGGGCGCACAACCTCGCACCCCCCGTGTTAGTCATTGTACTGCTCAGGCCATATTTATTTTCATCCTGTTGACCTGTGGACAATGAATTCATATAAAATTTTCTGATAATTTAGGTCTAAACAAAACTAAGACTGTATGTTGGTAGGCAATTGAATAACGTTCTAAAAATGCTTGATCAATTTGACTTTCCAATAAAAAAAGTCGCCCGGAAAATGAAAGATAGGGGAAAACTGTTTATTTTTTTTCATAAAATCAACACAAACTTATTTAATTTTAACAAGATTATGTCAGTCAGTTAGTAATAGTAATAATGCAACCGAAACCGCAGAGATTTCTTTAGCCCGATTAATGTATCTAAACTACAAAAAGTTGTTGTTAAACACATTACATTTTTTAAATCTTTTGGTATTTCTTTTGGTACTTTAAAGATAAAATTATTGAACAAGTCAACGGGACTTTCACTAATAACAATCTTAATACTGTTTGGTTTGTTGATTTATTATACTACTATTAATCTATCAGAAATAAGTGGTATCATTACAGAATAGCTCCGACATAATAAAAATTATTGCGGAGCTATCCCTACAAATATTCCACCGGTTTTGTAAACAGGAGGAAAGTCTCAATTTATTTTTAGTATGAACAAATAATTACTATTATAGGCATTCGGCTAACAATTTGGTATTACATACCTTTGATTTGCCTGACGTTTCGACCAGGTTGCACTGACCGTGGTCACAAGCGGTATCCATAATAATTAAAGGAACCAAAAAATATTAAGTATTGAAAAGTATTAAAATTAATGAAAATTGCGGTGAATTTTCATTTTAATTTGGAACTGTCGTTACCTATGTTGTAACCGGGCAAATTGGGGGCTTGAATGATTTTTTTAAACGGAAATAACTTTTTACAATAAAACATTGGGTCTATTAACATTAAAATCTTTTTATTACAGGAGGCATTAATTAGCTAGCATATGTACATATATCATCTCGTCACGGAAGTACCTAACAACATCCAAGAATTTACATTACACACAATTTCATCAATAAACAATAACAAAGCATAAGAAATGGTTTGATTTAATTCTTTCGTTTTTGGTATCTCTTCATAATTGTTAGTAATAGATGAGTGGTTATTACATTAAAGCTAAGACTGTTTTGTACTGCGTAATTGCGTCAATTAATGCAAGCAGAGGCGCGCCGCGAAACACGCAGCCACTGCTGGCTGTCGTCATTAAGATGCGCATACACATACACGCATTTTTCTCACACCATAAAAAAACTGCAACATTGAAACATGCGGACTCATTATGTGCATTAACAGCACCCAATAAAACTTTATGAAGCATTCACACCGTAAAAGGCTAAACAACAATTCTTATTTCCTTTTAAACAAATAAAATGTTACGTGAACGCATTCCAACGGCTTGAGCTGCTTTTAAAACCGTCGCCGTGTTTTTAGACAAAAATAAACCTTTAGCCATTTAGCAAACAATCAGTTCCAATTTATCGGCATACGGTCCACATATAATAATAGTGCGTACGTCAAAGCAATCAAGGATCCAATTGAAGGGGTAACTAGGTGGACATAACTCATCTCAATCGATCACTTGCGGATCGTCGCCCGTCCGCCGCCGATACGTCTCGTTTATTGGAGTCGACGTCGCGACAATAAACTTAATTGGGCTATATTAACGACGGCTCTTTAATAATAAAATAATAAAGAAGACGGACGACCTCCGGTCGGTGGTATTAGCAATTAGTTGTACACCATCGTGCCGCTGTTGGAGGTAGAACTTTATTTTTGTAATTTATGAATGTCAAAGCTTCTGTGTGTGTCCATGTAATATGAAAACGTTTTTGTGTCATCACCCTAATACTAATAGTGTAAACGGAAGTAATAACAAATATATAAAAAAGGATTATACACATGATTAATGCTAATAACAAGCATTTCATTCATTTAAGGTTATACAAATGTTACATTGACTATTATAGCTTGCTGCATCCTGTATCATGGCGATGCGATAAATTTATTTTTATTTAACCACTAGTGTGCGATCATACTATGCTAAAATTGAGGCATAACAAAAACCATGCAAAACCACTTAGACATGCTACGAAATCCCTTTATGAATAGCACTGAAAAGAAATACCAAGAACGTACCTACTTTTAATAAATTTAATGGTCATTATATTAAAAAACTATCTTAAACGTCTAGTTTAGTTAAAAACTTTTGTCTAAAAACTGCTAAAATGTAAAATATAATAACGTATAAATCGTGCGCGCACGCGATACGTTCAACTAATAAGTTAATCAATTACACTCGGTTTCCTCTAATATTCTCAGAACGTTGGTTTGCAGTTATTACGCGTAGACCATATTATTTAGTTCTTTGTGTTAGTCATGTAAGTTCTAGTCTAAAGTTCATAGCCACATTACAGCTTTCAGATAATGTTATATACGTTATACATTAGCAGTTTCGGAATGGTTGTGCAGAATTCGAGCTCATAATATTGACTTTGTAGAATTAGTAATGCAACTGTTGCTTAAAATCCACTTTTATAAGTAGTCATGAGTTTTCAAATAATAATACAAAAGTTTCTCATGAATTTATTTAGAAAACTCTTAACATTTCGACAAATTATCAACTCTGATGTGATAGTGACATTCTTTTGCTCAAATATTTCAACATACAAACCGTAAAATTATTAACAAGTATGTTCTCATTACTTTTTACAATTTTGAGTATCGTTTGTATATCGACTAAAACAAGTTTATCGTTGTTTTTTTTTTTTCAAACATTTTATTATCCTCACAAGGAAAAACGTTGGAAACGTTTAGTATGAAGTAGCCCTAACCTCGAGAGGTAAAAAATGATAGTATTTTCCCGGAATGTAGCAGTAAGGCGTGGGGTTGCCGACATGTTTTATCCATTTGTGGTCGTGCATGCTGTTAATGCCATAATTACGGTGCTGCATATCGCTCTAATAGCAAGATCCACTTCATCGATTGTAAATTTTTATGTGGTACCATTTATTTTTCATTTATGGGTTTTTCTTGGCATTAAAGACATCTCAAACCGGTCTATCACAGGACACGTTGTGAGATCGTAATTAATAGTGTTTATGTTTTTATGATCTATCAAAGGCACACAACACAACTGTTACTGACAAGTAAATAACTCGTTTAATTATCTATAAAATTAAGAGAGAGCAAGAATGCTTTATAGGCTCACCATTTTAATTGATCAAATTAGCAAAAACAGTTCTCTAAAATCACCTCCGAAAAAGGTTCTTGAATCGTCGACTTTTATATTAAACTTTATTAACTAGTATTAGGATGAAAATAAAATTTTATTCTTCCGAATCCGGTTGCCAATAAGAAACGTTAATGCAATTTTTGAAACAAGTATAAGGTAATTGCACAATCCTAGTAAAAAAAAAACACATTTCGTCGTCATGCAAGTTTACGGGACTACTAGAAATAAAGAAGTACCTTGGCGGTTCAGCTGATTTGACTTGTTTGACTTGTTTGGGACTTAGTTGTTGCATGTATGAAACAGCCAAGGTAGTAATCATAGATGAATGAAACATTGATTTCATGTAATAAATAAGTTAAAACGATCTAAGGTTTAATAACACTCTTCTACTGGAAACTAGAATATTTTCTTATCTCTACAAAAAAATACATTTGTCGTGTCTGTTATACGATAATGACAATTTTTGTTTTAGAAATAAATATGGGTAAACCTCTCACCAGCCTTTACTTATTAAAAAATGTAAAATGCACCTTCATAAAGTGGACTATTATCAATAAATACCTTAGGTAAGTCCATTGATATGAAGATATACCCCTAAGGAGAAAGGCTCTAAAAACGAGAATTATACCCCTAAGGAGAAAGGCTCTAAAAACGAGAATAGAAGACGGGCCTTTAGCTAAATATGGTTCAAAATACCTCATTGTAAAATTATGTCAAGTACATGTATAGTATTCATTTCTTCGAAATGCCAATCTGCGCTAAGCCAGGGTTGATGACATATGGGCAAAATAACATTTAGTTTCTTTATTATTTAGAGCACGGTACATAATTGCAAATATTCAAGTGAACCGTAACGCCTTGTAAATGAAAAGAGATATTATCCCCAAGCAATATATTAATTTTCTAATTTCACCGCGAAATTAGTTCTAAACACGGCATCTAATTGGAATCTGTAATGGACTTTCGTTCAGAAAATCCTTTCTTACGATGAAACTCATTTCCGTTTGTTTTGGTGGCTTGAGTTTAATGCCACGCATAAGTTATTACGTGTTTGTATTTCTCGAGAATTAAATATTTTGTGAAAATAATTAAAGAATTAGTGTTTCTATTCAAATTTTATAACATTTTATTTCATTTAAAAACTGGCTTATTAAAAAGTGACTAAAGTGTGATTGTAGCGATATAAAAATATCTATGTATCTGTTAAAAAAATAATTAAATGCAGTTGTCTTATTTTGAACACAAGGTTCGAGTAACCAGTAGTTTAAGTGTTTTTGTTTTAAAACAACAAGCAAACAATTATTGCTCTATGATAACACAAATACCTACGCCACCCCCGAGGATGAGAGTGAAAACGTAGTTCAGGCTGTATCCACCCTTCTACTTAACCGATTATAAACTTTTCAGTTAGTAATCAGTTAAGTGCTTTAAACTGACAGTTTTACTAAAAGTGAATATCGAATATAGAAACGACAATTCTGTTTAAATAATTGTACGGCACATGTGGCAAACGAGCAGACCGGTCACCTGAAACTCAAGAGTCAGAAGGAAGTTGCCGCTCTTTGAGCCATCCCCCCTCCCCCTCCCCCCAGGCCATGGAGATGGGGGTTTAGCTTCAGTAACCTCACTCACTCAGTGAAAAGAAACGAAAAAAATGCTTAACACCGGTTTTCTATAAAGCCGGTTTCTGTAAACTATATTATGGGCCAGGCACGACCGCCTGGCATATAATATCTGTGCTAAACCGTGACTTTCTCTACCACGGTAATTGTATTTTTATAACAAAACTGTGTGGAGTAGTAAAACA